GCAAACCTTTTCTTGGCCTGTTTGTTGTCTGGGTCTCAAATGTCCACAGTCCAGCTCCCTGCAATTACCTTCATCAAAGGCTGGGGAAAAGGCCACACTGGCTCAGCCCTGTAGCTCCTGGGGTAGGCCAGAGGGTCTTAAGAGGCCTGAGGCAAGGAGAGAATGGGTGGGGCTGAGACTGAGTTCCACGCCTTCTTATTTCCTCATAAGCACCTTTAAAGCCAAAAAGCAGCCCTGTGAGGCCCCAGCACAGACCAGTGAGCCCTGCTGTGGGGGACTGTTTGCTTGCCCCGGCGGAGCATTGGCTGAGGGGGCCACATGGCTCTTTTTGACAGCGATCCTGGAACCCACACTGGTGTAAAACGTGTAAAACTCCTGCTCTTCCCTTGGGAGTCCCTCAGTGTGGGCTGATGGCAAGGGGGAGGGTGGGGGAGACGGCTGGGCAGCGGCCTGGAGGGTGTAGGTGCTTTGCTCTGTGGCTCAAGCACCAGATCCCGGTCCTTGTGCTGGGGGAGGAGTTGCCAACACAAAGTCCAGAGAGGGCATGTGGGTAGATACAGGTGGGAGCGGGAACGCCCTGTGTCCTGGCTCAGTGTCCCTGAGGCTCCTTTCCCCCAAAGTTTGTGGCCTCTTGGAGGAAGGAAGGAAGACGGGGCAGACAAGGATCCTGTGGGAGCCCTGGGCCATCCCTGGCAGCCCCTCACCTGATCCTGGATCCCGGGAGAACAGGGTCCTCCCAGGCTGAGCTGAGCAGCAGAGCATGGTGGAAAGGCCACGTAGTTGCCGCCCCGCATCTTGCAGGTTTGTGACCTCGGACAAGCGAGCCCATCTTCCTAGTCGGCCTCTTTCTGTCACCAGTAAACTGCAGATGAAACGCTGCTGGGATCCTCAGAGGCTGACATGAGATATGGGTTGCAAAGCTCCTAGCGCAGAGTTTGTGCCTGGCGTCTAATTCCTTCCCTCCCTCTGGCGCCTCAAGTCTGACACCTGCCTGAAGTCACTGCTGAAGTACAGTGTCTCTATTCTGACAATTACATGTAACAGATTCCTGGGGGGCCTGCTGTGTGGGGCAATGGGAGGCAGATGAACCAAGTACAAAATATGGGCTCCTACCTCTGAGAAAACTACCGTCTTGTTAGGCAAAAGACATGCAAGCACAAACTTCTAAGGAACGACACTGCTGAACCTGAGGGCAGAGTGTTGTGAATCATAAGGCCTATTGGCATTTAGAGAGAGAGCTCAGTAGAGCTGGAGGGCTTCCTGGAGGAAGTGGGCTCTGTGGGAGACTCTGAAACCCTGGTAATGTTTTCATCGGTAGGGAGGGAGGGCAGCTTTTGGCCAGGAGTTGTCCAGGAATGGCAGCATGGAGCCAAGATGTGGGCAGGGGTGCCCATGGTGCCCCCCAAGGGTTTTGAGCTCTGCTGGGATGGAGCTGTGAGGTCGTGGGCTGAGTGGAGGGAGAGAGGTCTGGAGAGGTAAGGAGGGCCAGGCGGTAAACTGGAGGTGTCACACCTCCAGCAGCAGAGCAAGGATTTCGTTCTGAGGGACAAATCTGGAGGCACAGATTTGAGAGCAAGGGTATCACACGATAAAAAAGGAGTGATGGAAAAAGGGAGGCCAGATAGGAGAAGAATCTAGAGCAATCAGGGTGAGTGACAGGGATGAACCAAAGTTGGGTCCAATATTCTAAGCCTGGGTAACTGGAGGAATCAAAGCATTTTAGAGATGGAAGTGGCCTTAGGAGATTTAATCTTGTGTAGGCATTTGAGAAAAAGAACCCAACCCAAGGCCACACAGCTAGTTAGGGGGGGAGTCAGGAAATGAACTCACATTAAAGAGGGAGAAGATTTAGGGCAAGGGGATGAGGAGAGGATGAATATACCTCTGGGGTAATCATGTTTGGGGTACACGGGGTATATGAGCAGATAAATCCACCAGGCTGCTGGAAATGGGGGCCTGGTGCCCAGGAGGGTATCAGCTAGGATTTGGGGCATTATCATAGAATATAGGACATGGTTGGAAACCCATGGGGCAGTGTGCAAGGAGAAAAGGCCAGAAGGCCGAAGACTGAACCTCCCCAAACAGGATCCAGGAGCAGGGGCAGTCAGAGAGGTGGGATGTGGCCCAGATGTGGACCCAGCGATCAAGGAAAACGGTGTTGGTCAGTGCCGCCCAAGGGCATGGCCACATGGCTCTGATCCCCCCAGCCCCATCTAGCATATTAAAGATGGCTGCAAATTCTTTGACCTCTCTGCCACTGAGACATGGGGGTCTCTGCTTCCTCCTCTTAATCCGGGCAGGCTCTGTGACTGATGTACCCATAGGCTAGAATGGAAGTGACACCGAGCCAGGTTCCAGGCCCAGGTCTCGAGAGACTGGCAGCTCTGATTCCCTGACTCTGAAAGCACGTGCTCTTGGGACCCAGCCACCATGTATCTTGAAAGTAGATTCTAGCTGAGCTGCCCCAGAAAGGCCACATGAAGCAGAGATAAGCCATTCCTGCTGAGCCCTACTCAAACTAGATTTGTGAGCAAAATAAACAGTTGTTTTTCAGTCACTGAGGTTTGGGGTGGTTTGTTACGCAGCAACATCTGGTCTCCTCGATGCATTTGGGTCTCCTCTCCAGGTGCATGGTGGATCGTGGGGGACCCACCTCGAGCTTCCCTCTCCCACACCCTCCCTTTGCTTCTGTTCTGGTGCCTGGTGCCCCATGCTGGGCTTAGAGCTAGCTCACTGCAGTCAGTGGTGAGGGTGGTCCCAGGCCTCTACAGGGGTCAGGTATTGGGAGTGGTCACTCAGGGGGCTCATGTTCCCTCCACAAGAACAGAACAGAACAACCTCTGGCCTCTGAGTTGCCCACTGGCAGCCCAAAGCCAGGCTTCCTGTACCATAAACACAGAGAGAAGACGGCATCTGCTGAGCCCACGTCGAGCCTGCCACAGTAAACAACTGGGAAATTGGGGCCTCAGCTGAACCAGGGGACAAGCGGCTGAAGCATTTAAACAAACTGATGCTCATTTTTTGGGTATATTTATTTAAAAAAGTGTAGGAAATGAACCAAATGCTATCTAAAAAGTACCTACAACAAATAAATTATTTCCGGTTAAGCATTGCAGATCCACACAAACCAGTCCTCTAACCTTGACCAAGGTTATGTCCCACGGACTTATGCTTTTCCCCCTTGACTCTTCCTTGAGACACTCCCCTCCCAGGCAAAATGACCCCAGCATTAGAGATCAGTCCTGACTGAGCCAGGCCTCCTCACAGGTACAGCAGATGGGCATGAGGGCAGCCTGGGCAACGGCAGACCCACTGTGGAGGGGCACTGTGCTGGCACACAGCAGGCTTCAACAAACGTGTTTGACTGGTTTCCAGTGACCCTGAAATATTTTACATAAGTGGGGCCTAGGCTTTAAAGAAAAGAGCCACAGGTACGTTGGGCTGGCCCCTTCAAGGAAGCATATCTTCAGAAAACATTAAATCCACCTGAGGTCTCAGGAAGACAGCAATTTGGCCTGGAGTTTTCAGCTCTCAGTTAAAAGAAAATGGCCAGCGGGGCCCTTGTAAGTAAAAGTGACGTGTGTGGTGACAGCCAGCCCAAAGACGGCCAGCCACGCTGCAGGCGGAACGCAGAGCATGGACTGAGTGAACCTCGGAAGAGGCCAGAAGGTCGGGGAAGGTAGAGAATGGAGGACCAGGGCTCCAATGGTGATTTTCAATAACAATACAATTTCACCTGAGGAGGGAAGCCACGGCCCTCCTCTGGCCCTTCTTGGAGGGAGTTTGCCAGCATCTCAGGTGAAGAGGCCAAGGGCAACTGGGCAGGATCCAGCCTTGCAGAAGTAAAGGTGCCACAGGCAGCACCGAGGGCATAATTAAAAAAAAACAAACAAAAAACCAACAACAAACTTCCTTCTGGAAAGAGTTCAAGAGGCCTTGAGTACACACCGTTTAGGAGATTGCACAACTCCTTTTCATGGAAGCAAAGTAGCACGTGAACAAGTCCAGGTGGTGTGTTTCCAAGGTGAATTCACTGAAGGCAATGAAGTGCATTTATTTTTCAAAGGAGGTTTTGCCACAGAAATATTGAACTTTGGCCTGTGCTGACAAGCCATAACACAATCCTTCTCCTCCCAGAGAACAGGAGCCACAAAGGCAAATGCCCACAGGAGTAATTAGGATAAATGAGGAATAAGGCCGGGGTATAAAAAAAAGCTTTCCTGAAACACACACCAGCGTCAGGGCCTATCTTCTCATTTGATAGGAGATATGGGTCCCAAACTTTCCATTTCATTATGAGAAAAGCAACCGTGCAGGGGCATTGAACAATAGCAACAGACATGGCCTCAGTGTGGGAGGCGACAGGGAGTGGTGGGGACTGTGGTGAACTGGTGAGCAGATGCCCCATCTAAAGGTGGAGTTGCTTCTCAACTCCAGCCAGTTGTTGTCAGGTGAGAATGTGAACCCCAGCATGGCCAGATCTCCTGATCTGGATTTTTATGTAAAAAATTTATAATTTAAATGTTAGTAACCAATTCTTAAAAAAGATTCTGCAGGCTAAACAAAACACACCTGTGGGCTGGATCATTTTGTAGTCTTTCCTGCAGTGACAGGAAGGTGTGGTATGCAGAATAACAGCCCCCCAAAGATGTCCACGTCCTAATCCCCAGAGCCTGTGGATATGTTACCTTACATGGCAAAAGGGACTTCTCAGTGTGATTAAATTGAGGATCTTGAGATGGGGGATTATCCTGGATTATCCAGGGGGGTTTTATAAGTGAAAGAGGGAAGCGGGAGGCTCAGTGTCACAGTGCCACAGCATGACCAGCCATGGGAAGCAAGGAATGTGAGCAGCCTCTAAAAGCTGGAAAAGGCAAGGAAACGGATTCTCCCCTTGAGCCTCCAGAAGGAGCATAGCTCTGCTGACACCTTGATTTTAGCTCAATGAAACCCAATTTGCACTTCTGATCTCCAGAACCATAAGATAAGAAATTTGTGTGGTTTTAAGCCACCATGTTTGCAGTAATTTGTTACAGTAGTAATAGGAAACGAATCCAGGTGGCCACTCTGGTGTATTTTCAAACATTTTTAGAGGCTGAAAATACTCTCTGAATTTCTGTTTAAATGCCAAAGTATTGTTGCAGCTGCGAGAGCCACACATGGCAATTCAAGGAAATTTCTCTTATTTCCAAGACTAAAGGACAATGGGACTCAATGAATTTCTGTAGTGGGGTAACCACACGCAGAGCAAGAGAACGAAGAAGTCTCTTATCAAAGCAGATACGCGTCAATGCATCAACGCTGCTCAAACACACACACTCTTCTGGCTGCACAGAATGCAAATTCTTCCCACTTCCCAGGGGATGAGCACATGTTTATCTAGTGGTCATCACTAGAAGTCAAAACCCAGCCGTCCACACAGTTAGCATAAGTTGTCACTAGGTCAGGTGAACAGAGCTGTACGGTTGTACATTCAACTTCTTAAATACACAGGACCGCAAATAAATAATAATAATAAAAAGGCACATTGTCATTTTCATCCAAGGGACCCCAGTGAGAGCAGGGACCTCGGCAGCCTCCTAGGGATTGGAACTGTCGACCTGATGAGGTCTAAATCCAAATCCAAATCCAGGGCTCATCGCAACCCTGTCCTGGGTGACTCACACTCTCCCCTCTCATTACAGGCTGGTTTACAGCTCAACCTGAGTTTAGATGGACATGAACTGTGATGATTGTATCCAGATCAGAGTTCATCATTTTCAACGTCTCATCATTGAAATGAGTCCACTTGGAAATCAGAAATTGGTGGCATCCAGGAAAACCTTCTGTTAGTCCTTCCATATAATTCCTCTTCTTTAGGATTTCTGGTTGGGGACCCTAAAGGGTGTCTCAGTGCCCTGCTTTATGCAAAGTCTTTGGGATGGGTCCAAGTTATTCCCCTAGCTCCGCTGGCTTGTGGGCATCCAGCAAGGGAATGTCCGTGTTCCCGTTGCTTACATTCCCTTTGTTGGGGTGGGAGAAGGTGTACGGTTCACTCTCAGACTCAGGAGGGAAGTCAGGGGATGGTTCATCTGCCGTCAACTTCGCAGTCGGGGCCCTGGAGAATATGGGGGGCGGGGAGGGAGGGCAGTCCCCCGTGGGGCCCTGGAAGGGCCGGTAGGTGTCCACCTCTGGCTGGAGGAAGGACCCATTAGAATCCTGCAGCAGATGCCCATATACCATAGTGTCATCGATGACTGCATACACGTGGGAGTCATTGTCCTTTCGTCTTTTCTGAAACTTTTTTGGCTGCATTGGCAGCTGGGTATTGACGTTACCATTGTAGATACCTATGGCCGGGCCCTTGTTTATCTCCTTTTTCCTCCTGAGAGAAAGAACAAAGACAGAAGTCAGGAAGAAAAAGATCTTACATATGCACCACTCATATATTCCTACTGGAACTTAGATCCTTCAGGTTTCTGACCGTAGCTCCCCCAAGTCCTTCAAATGACTTAGCATTTGAAACTGAAACTACTGTTCTCAGTGAACATGTAGAAAAGACCAGCTTCTGTCTCCAGTTTTCAAGATGGAAACAGGGAGTAGAGAGGGGTTTAGGGAGGGAATTTTTAACACTATTTGCGCTTGAATTCGCCTCGATAGACACACGGTACCTGATGGTGGAGACATCTGATAGCCCCTTTCCTACTAGACAGGGGTGGTGCCCCAGCCCAACCACAACAGGCCCAGGCAGCCCAGGCCCACCTTCTACGACTCTCTCAGAACTTTCCTGTAGCTAAGGCTTCATCCTTCATTTGCATGGGGCAAAGCTCTGACCATCTAGATTCTACATAACATACAAGACTCCAGATGGAAGCCTGTTTCTTAGTTTTGAGCTGGAGTTGGGGACGGCAGAACTCAGCATTAGCAGAGGGATCCAGTCCCTTCAGCAGTAAGCTCCAACAGGGGAACAGCTAAGAAGAAGACAATGCAGGCCGGGTGCAGAGTTCCTCCATAACACCATTAACGTTTGGGTTGTAACGTTCTTTGGTACTTAGATGCAGACAGGCATTAGCACTCTCTGTCATGGAAAACAAAGCTTCACTCTCCATCTCCACGAGCCAAGAGCAGGGTTGCTGACTTTTCAGCTGACCAGTGATTCAAATGGAGGACATTAGCTCAATTAACATAATGGACCATATAATGCACAGGCTGGCGGTTCACTAATTGTGGACATCCTGTACTTTACTGAGATAAAAATAAATCTAGTTCATTTAGCTTGTAACATTGAGTCTCTGGCCAGGATGACGGGTTCCAAAGGCTCCTGCTTGAAGCCCTGTGATGGATGCCCCTCCTTTGTGCTCCCACACTGCCTTGCTTGTCCCCGCCAAAGCTCTTCTCATGCAGTCCTGAAGCTGTCTCTTTATGTGCCTGCCTCTTTAGTCCCTCTGTTCCCCTGGGCAGTGGGAGAAGAGACTGTGTCTTGCTCACTGTTGTATCCCCAGCACCTTGCATGGTTCCTAGTGCCCAGGAGACTTTCAAATACACGCTTAATGAACAAGTTCAATGGTGTTGTCTTCCTTCATTCTCACTGCAGTACCCGTCCACCCTCCTATACCAACTTGGGGACGGATCGGCCTTATGCAAACCTGGCAGCCAGTGGCCTCCCCTATGGCAAGCCTGGGGCTGGTGATTCTCAGGCCAGAACTGGGGCAGTTTAGGGATGGAGGCAAGTGCTGGACCCTCCCTTCACTCAATTCCCTCCTGATGAGGAAGCTGGGGCTCAGTGTTAATGCCATGCTTTCCAGTCTGGGTGGAACATACTGTGTATCCCAGACAAGAAAGTTTCCAGAGAGAAACAGTGAAATGATGTTTTGTTAAAAGAACTCCTTTCCCCACATGCAATATATGTACAATCCCGTTTCACGGAGATGAGGCCTCTCCCTGGATCTGCCACGCGCAGGTCCTTCCTTGTCAGTGGAGACATTTCTAGACAGTCTCCTCGTTGATTAGCAATTTCAGTTGTTTGTTCAGGGACCCAGTTAATAAAAAAAATTTTTTTTTAGCTCTTTGGAAGGTCAAATCATGCGAAAGAAAACAGATTTGCCCCATCTCTTGTGGCTTTAATCAGAAATATGAGCAGAATTGATAAAATCTAGTGGCAGCGTGTACTCTGTTTAAAAAGGTCAACACTCTCTTTTCATAAAACAGAAGCTGTCATCCTGAGGGGGTGGAAGGAGGCAGTTAACTGGGTCTTCCTTCCTCTTACCCACAGGGCTGGCTTTTTGGTGCTTGTCTGGAGTCCAATAAACAAGCATAAAACAGACAGTTTGTTTAAGAAACAGGAGGGAACAAGCTGGGGCAGCATGTGTTCTCTTTCCTCAGGGTGACAGAGGGAGCGGGTTCAGAAGCCTGGTCTGGCGGGGCTGACGTGAGCATTTTCCCATCATCATCACCCCTGCAATGATCACAGTCTAATGAGCAGACAGTAAGTGATTCACAGGGGACTTGTGCTGAGGCAGCTGCATAAAAGCCACGGGCTAAAATACTATCACACATGTATTTGTTTTTTCATTTTTTTTTTTCCTGTGAGGTATGGGATTTTTCCCCTCCAAGTATAACTCACATCTGGCAATATTATGTAAAACTGATCTTTGGGGAGAAAATGGGAAGCAAGAAAAAAGTCAATAATTAATGGTAGCCCTGGTCTTTGTGACCTAAGGATGTGTCAGATCGGCTGAAGACAGTTTGAGAAATTCCACCTACTTCCTTTTCACAAGGCAAATGATGAGTCCGAGGGCAAACAGCAGGAAGGCGCCACCTACCACCACCGCGATGATGATAACAGTCAGGTCTGTGAGCAGAGACACAAGGGAGAGAGATGAGGAGACAAGAGGGGTTAGGCCGATGACGAACTTGAGTAGACAGTCTCCACAGAGGGCCTCCATCCTTTCCTTCCCCCCCGTACACCCGTGCTGCTCCTCACTTTCAGAGGAGCCTATTTCCCTTCCTCTTGAATCTGGGCTGTGCTGGTTCTGGGCTTAACTTTTTACACGCCTGCCAGCTTCTTGCACTTTCTCTCTGAGGGGAAGCCAGCCACCATATAAGAAGTCTGACTATACTGAGACTACCAGGCTGTGAGGAGGCCCAAGCTAGCCATGTGGAGACTCCGTGAGGAAAACAAACAAAGGAATCCAGCCGAAAGCGAGCACGAAGGCTCCAGACATCTGGCTCCAGGTAAACCATCCCAGCCGCCCTATCACTGTTCAAGGCGTCTGGCTGAGGCCCCAGATAGCTTAGAGCAGAGAGAAGCCACCCTGCTGGGCCCTGTCCGAATCACTGACCCCAGAATTGGGAGCAAACAAAATGGTTATCGTCTAAGCCACTAAATCTTGGGGTGGTTTGTTATGCAGCGATGGATAACTAAAATGAACCGGGGGACCTACCAGATCTACTCCAAGGCTACTCCTGGCCTATATCGCATGTGTTCCCCGCATCGCCACAACGTGTTGTGGAGGAGAGGAGAGCGGAGGGGTGTAGGAGAAACAGGGAGTCAAAAGTCAGAGGGGAAGGAGTCAAGGAGAGGGTGGTTTCATCTGTGCTGTTCTTTTCCTGCAGTTGTACAAAGGAAATAAAAAAGAAAAAGAAAAATCAGAGAAGGAGCCCTGCACGGAACAGTGATGTAGAATTTCTTGCTTGTTCGACAAGAAAACGAAAGGTGAGATTAAGAGAAAAGAGGAATAGAAATAAATGACAGAAAATGAGTGTAAGAGAGGAAGAAAAGCCAGGAGCGGACCTGAGAGCACGGGAGAGCTTTTCACTGGGGCTTTGGCTCCCTTCAGTTCTCGTGCTGCTCTCCAGTTGTGTGGCTGTGGGCAGATACTCAATCTCACTGACCGCCAGCGAGGGAAGGGCCGGGAGAAACAATCTCCAGGGTCCCTTCTGGTTCTGACACTGTGAGGCTCTGTGACTATCTTGGAATAAAGGGCGAACACGGCCCCACCACAGACTACCGGCCACACACGTATTTCCTTGCCTGAAACTCTTCAGTGCATCCTGCAACTTTGAGCATAAAGGCAAACTCCTCATCTCGGCTCTGAGGCCCGCCACCAAGGGCATTTCATGGATTCCAATGTTTCATTGGACTAACTAAAAAATGCCAGCACTGTGTACCTGTGTCACACTTTCCAGGTCTCCACATTTTAATCACCAACACTGAATTCCCAGTGATATTTATATGAGGTCGTTATTATCATCTACTCTCTACAGATGAGGAGGATGAGAGGAGGGAAGAGACTTCTATGTCAGAGAGAGAGTAAATGACGGTGGAACATTGACTACAAAAATGCCCTAATTCTCCCCCTTCCCTGAACCATGTCCTTTACCATGTGACTCTGCAGCTCCTCCCATCAAGAGGTGGAATCTATTGTCTACCCCCTGAATCTGGGCTGGCAAAAAGAATGCTGTAGAAGGGACGGTGTGTGAGTTCCTAACGTAAGCATCAAGAGACCTTGCATGCTTCCTCGGGCCTATCTTGGATCTCTCTGCCTTTGCCATGAGAATAGGTCTGGGCTGGATAAGAGACCATGAGGAGGAAAGCCAAGGCAGCCCAGTTATCCCAGCAGATCTTGGCTGGGCCCCAGATATGCAAGAGTGCCTGCCAAGATCAGCACAGTCCTCCAGCCAACCTGTAGCAGCCTGCAGGTGCACGAGTAAATGAACCCTGATAAGCCCAGCTCAGACCAGAATTGCCCAGCCAACATGTGAGCAATAATAAATGGCTGTTTTTAAGCCACTGAGTTCTGGGGTGGTTTCTTATGCAGCACTAATGATGCAATAGCTGACTGCTACATGGACAGCCAGGACTCAAATCTGTGTTTTATGACTCGCCTCCTGGCTTGCTCCTTATCCCTCAGCTGCCAATTTGCTGTCCCCCACCATCTCTGAAAGGCATCGAAGACCCTTACCCGCTGTCCTTGGGGAAAGTGACACCCTGAAGAGCAGGTCCAGCTGCTTGCCGCTCACAGGGCTGCAATTGGAGATGTTGACCCAGAAACTGTGACGGTGGAAGCTTGGCTTGGGGAGCACCTCCTCCTCGAGGCTGAAGATCTCCTCGGCCCGGGTCCTCTGCTCCTGGATGATCATGAACGCGCGCCCCGTCTGGCAGACCAAGCCGGTCCGCTCCTTTAAGAAGGTCAGGCAGGCCTCCTGGTCGCTGGGCACGCTGATGTTCCAGGACACCGAGGCGAGAGACGGCAGGCCCCGGTCCCAGTTAGGGGTCCTCAGGTAGACCTTGCTTTTCATATCCGGGGTCACCGTGAAAACACTTTCCTCTGCAGGAAAGGGAAGAGAATCCAGACAGACGTTGTTTCACTCAATCAAAAGAGAGAAAAGGGAGTGGTGGAGGAGGCGCTGTTAAACTGTCTAGACCAGCGCTGTCCGCTAGAGCTTTCGGCAGCGATGGAGATGTTCCGTATCTGCGCTGTCCAGTAAAGGAGCCACCGCCACGTGCGTCTGCTGAAGACTTGAAATGCGCTTGGTGTGACTGAGGAACTGAATTTTTAATTTTGTTTACTGTTAATTTAAATTGCCACATGTGGCTAGTGGCTACTGTACTGGTCAGCACAGGATTCGAGTCTCAGTCAAATGAGGTGCTCAGCCCTTTTGGAAAAAAAATAAATAAACAGACCAAAAACAAGCCAGTTTGCCAAACTCAGCTTCCTTTCAGAAGTGCCCTCACCATAGCTAGCGTTCATCTAATGGCCTGCTCTGTGGTGGGACTGGTCTATACTGATTTCTGTTCCAGAAATTAAAAAAACTTCAGGTTCTGGGAAGAATTCTAGAATTGCAAAGCTGAAAGAGCCTCCAACATGTTGATTAATCCATAACTTACCTTCAGGCCAGATAAACCCCCACCATTCCGCACTGATGACAGCGTGTCTTATTTTCAGAGACTCCCCAGCAGGAGTTTCTTTGGTAGCCCTGGAGATGCCAGGCAGCCTGACTGACCTTCATCTTACGTCCCAAGATCTTTCTCCCTCCCTCCCACTCCTGCCTCTGAGAACAAAAGTACTAAGTAAACCTCAAAGAAAGTCTTGGTCAATTTTAAAATGGCCTCTAAATTTGAGCAACTTGTAGTGGTGACCGGGACTTCTAAAACCAGCCACATCGAGTTCACTGTTGTGACTGACTGAGACTCCGTTTGCTGCCTCAGAAGACCGACGATCACACACCAGCCTGCTGGGAGGGGTCTGCTCCACCGGGCAGGAGGCCAGGACCCTCGTGCTCCTGATTCACCCCCCTCCCGGTATTCCTTCCTCTGTGCTCTCCACACTGCATTCTGAGTTGTCAAAGCAGAATCATAAACCTGTCTGAATAAGGATTTTTATGTTACCACCTTAAAAACCCAGGACTCAGGAATATTTGGTTAGTTCTCATTTACGCCCTGCCTGCTTCCAAAAAAGACTCGAAACTGATTATTTGTTCTGCTGCCTACCAGCCATCACCTCCCACTGTCAGAGAGTCTTATTTCTAACTCCTGGAATTTTCCACACTAGGTTAATGGTAAAGTCAGGATCAGGACTCACCATCTTGCAAACTTCTTGTGTGAGGACCAGCCCACTCAACTGTCCCTTCTCTTCAAATTGACAACTTAAGACGATCACAAAACCAAAATAAGATGAATGCTCAAACGAGAAAGGCCGAGGGGGCATGGAGGTGGGGAGAGAGGGAAAGACCCCCTTACCTTTAAAATGTGGTATAAAGGACACGGTCAGGCCCTGCCTGGAGACCTCTTGTTGGAAGTTGGGGGCAAAGGTGCGGATGGTCACCGACATGTTTTGCTTCACCTGGATCTGCTTGATGGAGCCTCCAGGGCAGAAGGAGCCGAAGTAAAGGTCCTGGCCGGGGACGGCGCTGGCCACGAGGTAGCTGAAGCTGGTGTTGCAGGCCCTCTCGTGCGTGTGCTGCTGCAGCTTCTGGGCCGGCACCAGCGCCAGGCTGAGGCTGTCCTTGGGCACCAGCAGCTTCCAGGAGAAGTCGTGCAGCTGCACAGGCAGTTGGAGGATGTCCCCGGGCACCTGGAGTGAGTAGGACTTCCTGGGGCAGTACCGGTGGTCCATGCAGCCTGGAAAAGAGGTGCTCATGGTACCCAGGTGGGGAGGAGACTGGAAGTGCATCGCCCCAGCTCTCCAGTCAGCCCAAGGCTTTCTTGCTTTTCCCCTTGGTCTCTCCTCTCCCACGCTGTCCTCCACTGCTGGCTCCTTGACGCTCCTTTTCTAGCTTCCCCTCCTGCTCTCTCACATTCTTACTGTCTACCAAACTGACAGACCAACTTCTGGGGAGTTTTTAGGGTTGAAATTTTCGCTTCCTGTTGGTTCAAGCTCTCTCCTCTGTGTATCTGTGTCTTAGATGCTAAGTGCCATGTGGGCAGGGCACATACTTTTCCTCCCAGACCTGATGCCCAGTGTCCCCATCTGTGGGGAGGCCATTCTGTGTAGTGGTTAGAGCAGGGACTGGAGCTGGGGAGATCTCAACTCTCATTCCAGCTCCGCCACTTCCCAGTGGGGTGGCCACGGGCAGGCTGCTTTGCCTCTTGTGGCCTCAGCTGCTGCATCTGTAGAGACTCTACGAGCATCCACGTCAGAGATCCTGGCGGACCAGCCGGGAGGTGACTATTGGTTTGGCTGCCCTCTAGTCATCAAACATTTATGATGTGACTAGCACATGCCCAGCGCTGCTAAGGCCACAGGGATAAAAAAAAAAAAAGGGATGGTTCCTGACCTCAAGACTCTCAAGTCTCCTGCAAGAGAAGACAAGGAGGCGGTGAGTGTGGAAGCAGGGGCAGGTGGACGGGGGAGGCTGGGGAAGGCTACGCAGAGGAGATGAGTTCACAAGACAGACTAGAAGGCTGGGCAGGGAGACATGAGCATGGACACGGGGAATGCACTTCTGAAGGACGCACGTTCCAGCTGAGGCTGCTGGTCCCATAGGGAGTGCGTCTGCTTCTTGCTCACCCTTGCTCACCCTGCACTTGCCCCTGCTCACTCTGCACTGTGGAGGACGTTTCTGATCATACTATTTACAGCCTACCCAGTGGACCCCACTCAGGAGACAGGGCAGGGGAGGGAGAGCTACCCACGGCCCGGGAGGAGTGCACTAACTATAGGGGCGTACTTATGGTTTTCTCGGCATTTATCCACAGCCGTGTCAGATCATCACACAGGAAAGAGATCTTGTGCTTGGAGCCAGATGTCAGGGTGACGTTGGTGCTACAGGACCAAGGCCCCAGACACACGAAACAGCCGCGGACAAAATTTTGGCTTAGTTTGATGGGCCTCGGCTCAATGGTGACCGACATGGCTCGCTCGTTACTCAAGTCAACCAGGTAGGTTTTATCTGGAACCACAGATAGAAGACAGGTGTGAAGAATGGATCAGTAGCAAGCCCGTGAAATGGCAAAAATTAGCACAAAACCTTGGAAAGATTTTTTATTACTAAGGCAACGTCACAATAACTGTAAAAGAAATTTAAAAAGAAAAATAAGGGACTGCATTTCTACCAGCCTTATTTAACTGCTCGCATTTCTTCAAATTCATTTTAGTCTTTGTTCATATGTATTGTTAAAAAAGAAATAACAGGCCCAAAATGGAGTGATCTGCCCCCATGACAGCAAACCAAGACTTGATTGCAGTTTTAACCTTTCCGAGGAATGTGATCTTTACACAAGCAATCTGAAATTTCCTGACCAACACCAGTGAGCTAATCTGCATAAAACCCCTGCTGGTGTGCTCCCCCAAAGAAGATGTCCTGGCCTGAAACAATCCTTTCTTTTCTTTTGCTAATAACATCCTTGCCCACCCTCCTTCTGCCTATAAAAACCTTCCATTTTTTACAACTCCTCTGAGTATCTCTCTACTTGCTAGACGGGATGCTGTCCCACTCAGAAATTGCTTAAAAAAAAAATTAGAGGGGCCAGCCCGGTGGCACAGCAGTTAAGTGCGGGCACTCCGCTTCGGCAGCCCGGGGTTCACAGGTTCAGATCCCGGGCGTGCACCGACGCACCGCTTGTCAAGCCATGCTGTGGCAGCATGCCGTATAAAGTAGAGGAAGATGGGCACAGATGTTAGCCCAGGACCAATCTTCATCAGCAAAAAAAAAAA